TCAAAAAATGAGATAATAAATATTGTCCTATTAAATATGCTAAACGGTTTTGTAATGTGTATAAAGACATTTAAGAAATATTCAATACATTATACTAAATATTTTAAATTATTATAAAAAAATGTGTTAAATGGAATTTTTTAATTTCAAAACTAATAAATAGAATGTTAAAAAAGGTAAAAAATTATCTTAAAATTGTAAAAATATTAAATATTTTTTTTAATGTGTTCTTGAACACATATACAAATTAAATATTTATTTTTAATTATATTTATTGTAATATAATATTTTTATTTATTATGAAATTTGTGTTGATAAAATATTATTTTATTACTGATAATATATTTCTTTAATATATGAGTTTCTATTTAACTATTAAATGTTATGAATAATTTTAAAATGCAGTATGATTTATAACATTAATTAATTTTTATTAATCTTAATAAATAAATTATTTATTTTTATAAATAAAAATCTATATCTTCACGTTGAATAAAAATAAATTACTTTTAACTTTTTTAACATGGTGTCCTTCTATTAGAATTCCAAAATTTGAACCATTGATAAATAAGAGTTCATAAACACTTACTTGGCGACATTCTGTGAGAAAGAGGAAAATGTCACTTCTGGCCAAAAAGGAGTTACAAATACAAATCGTGGACAAACAGGCCATAGGTTTTTTTTCACGTCATTGGTATTATTTATTAATTAAAATTAAATTAACTTTAATGTTTTTAATAACATCAAATGTTTTTTTATAAAATTAATAAACAACATTAATAACACTTAAATTTTATTCAAAAAACTATTCAAACCAATTAGAAAACTCATATAAACAAAGTAAAAATGTAAAAATTAATTTAAATTTAAAATTTAATCTCAAACTATTTGTTACTTGGATCAATTAAAGTGGAAATAAATATGTTTTGATTCACATAAATTAGTTTTTTTATTTTATAAAATCGTATTCCTTAAGATGTTTTAATTTTTTGTTATTTAATAATAATAATAATAATAATTTTTCTTTCATATATATATATATATGTATGTATGTATAATAGGCATAATGTGCAATGAATTTAGTAGTATATGATTATAAATTTATTCAAAATAGTATAGTCATAAAATTAATTATTGGTAGATAATCAAAATCATTATAATCTACAATAGATAATAGTTTAAATGATTAATTATTGATTAAAATAATATTAAATATTTAAATATAATAATTTAGTAAACATAGTGTTACATCTTTAGTCCTCTACACCTTTTAAAAGTTTCATTTTAATCTTTTAACTGTATTTTAAATAAGTTATTTTTTCTTTTTCCCCTCCTCTTGCTAATAATAAATATCTTATTTGATACAAGTTTAAAAATTAAAAAAAAATCAAAATTAAGATACTAAAAAAAAAGACCAGAGGTATTAAATACAGATATACACATGAATATAAATTTAAAGTCCTGCTAGTTAGGGAGAAAAATACACTTCCCACTTTTATAATTTTCCTTGACTAATTAATAAAAATTTAAATACTAATACTTAAAAATAAAAATTACAGTCAAAATAAAATATTTTATTTTATTATGGATAATTATAGTACGAATATTTTCATGAGAAATTACACACAAAGAATTATATGTATATTATTTTTATTTTTAAGAATTTATAATCTATAATATATTCATTTAGGATTTTAGATTGAGTATTTTTTCTACATTACATAAATATTACTAAAATAAAATATTTTTTAAAACAAATTTTTAAAAAATATTTATACCCTTTTAAAATTGAAAAAAAATTATACTCTTATTTTTAATAATGATAAATATTTTATAAAATTAAATAAAATTAAGTTTAAAATATTTATATTAAAAAAAGCAGGCACACATCAATTTTATCTTTCAAGATTAACTTTAAATAATTAATAATAGCAAGATTTTATAATAATGAAAAAAGGAGCGCATTGATTACACTTTATAATTTTAAAATAATATGTTTTTTCTGATAAAATATTATTTTTAAGTATTTAAATTCAAATCGAAAAAATAAAATTAATAAATTTTGTTATCTAAATCATTAATATTCTAAAAAAATCTTATTAATTAACACAATTATATATTTAAGACTCAAAATTCAAAAGTGAAACAATGTGTGTTAATTGAACTATGTTCTCGGGGTTATTAATGCTATTCATTTATTAAATGTAGAATATTCATCCAAGAACGTATCTGGGACTCCTTGATGATCACCTGAGTATTCTACTGGTGGCTATCACATGAACTTGTTTTAAACGTGTTGTTGATAGTTCAATGGTCAAACTTCCTTATCAAATGTACTTAATATTTTTCTTATCCGTCTTACTGGACCACTCTTACCAAGTTTTATTTTATTTTATATCTCAAAGAATAAATTTGACTTTTTATTAGCTTATTAGATGTACAAAGTCAATTAATAGTATTATTACAAATGTTGAACTCTGGGGCCATTCATTAGTATACAAAACATCCTCAAGTTAGGTCTCGTTTGAATTTGTTTTTGGAAAGAAAGAGAGCTATTACAACTCGAGTAGATTTTTTTTTCCTCATATTTGATAAGTATTAGATTTGAACATTTACTTGTTTTTTAAAATACAGTGAACGCAAGTTCTCTGTAAGTATTTTTAGTTCAGCGATTTTTTCTGCTTTAAATAAAAGAAGAAGAAAAAGAAAGAAAGAAAGGTACTACGAAATTTGGCTTCGTCAATAATTTCAGCAGCGAAATATGAATATATAGAAGCCGGCGAGTGTGTCGCATATTTATGGGCATGTGTGAATCGTTTCGTAAAATATAAACACAATAACGCTTAAAGTCGCAGCTTGTTGGGGATCGCAATAGTCAATTGCGCGTGATAATATATTAAAGGCTTGCTTGCATTGAAACAATTGTATATGAGTTGAACATGGACAATTTCTTTGTTTGCAAGAGTTACCTCACTCGATGCTCTTTATAGTTTAAGAGTATCGTTTGTGAGTATTCTATATAGACTATAATAGTTTACTAACTAAGTTCCAAAGCTCACTCCACTGGGTGCCTATTATTTCATTCTAAAACTTATATTGTACAATAAGTTATATGTTGTGTGTGTTCTTCTTAATACAACATAATGTATTTAAATCTCTCTGTTACTACCATCTTGGGACGCGCGTGGAGGACTTTTTCAAATATGACCTGACGAGGATGATTAAGCTTCCCAACTTTTCTTTGTAATAAAAATAGCGCATAAGTTATTGTGTATATAATTATTGTTTTAAACTATTAATTATAAGTAATAAAAATAAGTTTAAGAATCTGATTCTTTTAAAATAGTGCATAACTTATAAACCTAAAAAGAACAAGATAATAAAAATTATGAAAAAAAATATGTGTTTAAGTGTAACTTTTATTTTATCAATATACGAGTTAGATGACAAAAAGAAAAGAAAATTGATATTGAAAAAAAAATAAAAATCTAAAGTCATCTGCATATCTGGTACAGTTTGGATCTGACGGCTTTCATTAACAAGACACGATTATTTATAATATTTTTATCAAACAAATTTAATATTTAAAGATGCCATGCAGTTTGAAAAGTAATGCAGAGTGGCAATTACGCAGAACGTTCGTTTATTTGTTCTCTTGTTTCTATCTTTTTTTTACTGAGTTAATATTCATTAGGGTTCCACCTCAAAACTAGAAATTAAACTGTAATGATCAATGTTGGGAATAATATTTACCAAAACGGACCAATGCTACTGACAAATTTTGATAATTTTTTTTTCTTGAAAAAGAACTTTAGTCACTAAGTTCAATTCGTGATGATATCCACGCGTTTCACGTTAAAGACACTTTGTTAGTGATGATATCCATGCGAGTTTTAAAATTTTTAATTTTGTTTGAGGAGTCCATTAATATAAATTTTACTAATTTTTCAAAGAGACTTTGTTGGTAATTCTTTTTATCTGTTCTCTCTATTAATATAACTTGAAGTTTAATTATTTTAAAAATGCTAGTAATTTCCTAGTTTCTCTCTCATCTGCCTAAGTGATTCTCTTTGTGTCCCCTAACCTCTCCTGTTTCGAATCTGACACCTAATTCTCTGTGAGAATAAGAATTAAATTGGGCAATTTTTAATCAGATAAATTGGTGTGGCAACATTCAAAATGAAGTTTGGTAAGTTAAAATCTAAACTGTGGCCAAATTCTTGACTTCTCTTATGGGTAATATGTGGTGGCCACGTTTTCACAACACTGGGTTAAGAAACATCACAAATGGTGGGGTTCCATTTTTTTTGCCTCGAGAGATCGAATTTGGAAAATCTTAATTTTTTAAATTTCTTTAAATGAAAAGAGTAAATTTTTGAAATCACAATAATATTTATTTATTTTTATTTCACAGACAATGGAGTTGGTTTGCTTTTTTATTCAAAGTTATTTCACACACAATAATATTTAATTATTTGTGGGCTTTTTTATTCTTATGTTACCCTATTGGTACAAACGCATGGACAATGGTATCAAAGCAATGAATTAAGCGTGAAGTGAAAAACCAAAAACGTGGGCGCATTTACGGCACTGACAAACGCAGTGTTACCTAAGCACTGGCAATTGCGTAATTGGAGCGAACAAGACAAAGGGAAACGGAAACCAAACCACAATCTTTGCCGTTTCCGTTTAGGTTTACCGACGCAAACAACACGTGGTGCAAATTAAATTCAGGAAAAGGAAAAAGGAATAAAATAATAGTAATAATAATAATGAATAAAGTAAATGAGTAATTTGAGAGTGAAGACTTTTGACGAAACAAACGAAACAGTATTACAAGGTAGGAGACAGCGGCAAGAAAAGAAAAGAACCCCACTTTTCTAAAACCCCACATATTCCTCGTGCTTCAATTTTCCACCTCTAACTCTTACAAATAATAATAACATTAATATTCAAAATTATTCCTCCAATTAAAATTCATTGTTATTCGTTATATATAAGATAAAGCCTCCCAGACAAAGATTATAATTACATAGTAGCACTTCCTTCCTTCGTACAACCCTCATCTCAAAGCACGCGTTCTCTCTCTCTCCTTGTTTCCTTCGCTTTTTTGCCACCGAATATCTCTGTGGGTAGATTCAATTCATTATGTCCACCTCGTCGGACTATTCTGAGTTTTCCGGCCAGAAACCGGCCAAGTCGCCGGAGAAATCGACTTTCTCTCAGACTTGTAGTTTATTGAGTCAATACATAAAGGAGAAGGGTAGCTTCGGAGATCTCACCCTCGGAATGACATGCAACACCGAAGCTAGTGGTACGGGTTTTCAAACTTTCCCAATTTTTCGGGTTTTTTTTATATATAATAATTTCACTGAAAATTTTGAATTATATACAAGTATTTTCCTGAGACGGGTAAAAAAATGGAGAATTACTTTTTTTTCCGCTTTGGTTCGCTTTGAAATAAATAAATTATAGTGAAGAGAAGCAGTTCATGGGTCTTTCAAAGTTTCCCTTTTTGCAATTAAAAACTTTTTTTTTTATCTTTTTATTCTTTGGTTTACGCCCTTTTCAATTTCTTAAATTGCATGTTGTTTGAATTCACAGATCTAACACATGGCTCCAATTTTGCCCTTCGAAGTGAGAGAAAGTAAAAGTTTTATTGAGAAGATGAAAATGAAATAAATAAATAAAGATGTTAAATTTATTGGTTGCAAAACTGCGGTTAATTTTTTCAGATATTTTGTGAATTTTTTTTTTTTTGGATGTTTTCTGAATCCGAATGTTTTACAGGGTCACCTGAGACATCTTGTCAATCTGCTACAACCATGAACTTGTTTCCTACCAAGGAAAACAACGTGACACCAAAGAACCTGACAGCTATGGATTTGCTCTCTCCACAAGCTTCCTTTCGACCAGCTGAAGAGATTCCAACCTTAATCAATTCCAGGTGTGTTGCTGAGCTTCTTTAATTTGTTGTCAAGTCAATTAACACCCTTTTATTCTAACTTGCTGTGGAAGAAAAATTAACGACTTATAACTGCTAGTGATTTTTTTCTAATTAAGAGTTTCAGATATCTTTCTTAGTGTGTGTTTAGTTAAGCTTTTTTTCCCCGTTTATGAGAGAGATTTTGAAAATAAACAATTACAAATATGCTCTAAACTCCCAACTTCTTTTATGGCTAAAAATTGTCATTAGACTAATATATGATAATTTGTTCACGATTAACAGTGCTATAAAGTCTGTGAGCAAGGGGTCTAAAGCTGCACAATTGACAATCTTTTATGGTGGACAAGTTATTGTGTTTGATGATTTTCCTGCTGACAAGGCAAACGAGCTTATGTCCTTTGCTAACAAAGGGATCTCCCAAAGCCAGAACAATTCTGTTTACACTTACACACGCAGCCAACCTTCATTTCCTCCTAATTTGATTAGAACTTCTGAGTCAAGTGCTCCAGTTATTCCCAGTGTGAAGATTGCTGGGACCAACTCAATTCGTGAACATGCTCAAGCTTCATCCAGTCCTGTTGTTTGTGGTAAATTTCTTATGATCACTAATATTTGATATAGCTGAAAAAAAATGTTTCATTTTTTATGTATGGTGGATCATGTTTTTTCTGATCATGAATTTCCTTTCTGTGCAGATCTGCCAATTGCTAGAAAAGCTTCTCTTCATCGGTTCCTTGAGAAGAGAAAGGATAGGTAGGCACTCTCATCCAAACAAAGACAATTTTTAAAGATAATATATTGTTTGGGGTGTCACGCTTGTGTATATGATTTAGTGCATGTTTGGTTTTTCGTCCGAAAAGCTCCAAGCTATGATTTGGAGACTCCCAAGTCTTAACAAAAAACCAAACATACACTCCATGCCTAAAATCAAATAATTTGAGTCACAAGTTACCCATTAAGTCGTTCTTGTTCCTTTTGTTTTTTAAAAATAAAATCTTTCAAAACAAGATCTTTGTTTACCCTTTGATTGAAATATTTGAGTACTAGTCAATTTCGATGGCCTCAATTTTTGTGTTTGTAGATCTGCTTTTTCGGTATTTTTTGTCATGAGAATTAATGTTAGAATTGTTTCGTTACCTTATAATTAAGTTATTATTGCCCTGTTGATAATGTTATTTTTTTTCTTGTGTTGTTTTTACAGAATTGCTTCCAAAGCGCCATATCAAACAACAAATGGGTCTGCAAATAAGGCAGCTGAATCCATGTCATGGCTTGTGTTGGGTGCTGCCGCACCTCAAATCTGAGCGCAGCTACAGTTATGTGTAATTTGAAGCATATTTTTGTTGTGAAAAAATGCTAGCCAGTCAGAATTTTTTTTGCCAGAACATTTGACTAAATTTCTGGTTATTGTTTTTTCCTGATTAGTTAGCATATTTTACTCTTTTGTTTGATGTTTTAAAATATTTTATGGGCTTCATGTTAGCCCTTTGTTTGTCATAGCAACTTCGGCCCTACTGGGCCTTATCATAGATCTAACTATTTGTTAGTAGCTGCTGCTCTAATTATAGTGATTCAATATATTCATTGTTACCTTTGATTATTTTTCCTTCCTACTTCATTTTTTTGCGCTCTGCATCACCCTGCAAAAGCGAATAATGTTAATTGCAAAGAAAAATGGAACGAATCTATAAGGTCTCCATGCAAAATTCCAATATAATTGTAACGGTCCTAAATCAACTTTATAATTTTAACTAGTAACTATTAATTTGAAACGGGGGAAATATTGTAACGGTTAAATCAACCTGTGAGCATTTAAATTGAGAATTTTTAACTTATTTTTTTATTGAAATTTTTTAGTACGATTTTATTAAGTACATCGGAGTAATTAAATTATTTAAATAATTCTGAAAAGAAGTTGTAAGTTTTTCTTTATTTAATAAATCTCTGAATCGACTGAAAATGATAAATAAGATTTTTGTATTTCGCATAACTCTAATAGGAACGTCGTCAATAACTTATTTACAAACTTTTAAATGTGAATTTATTTTAATTTTTTAAAGTAGTTTAAGAATCTATAAACAATTTAATCTATTATAAAATGTTAAAAATATTAGGAAAAGAAAGGATCTGATGTTTAGTAACTTAACAATTGTTTGGTTTGGAAAAGCGTTTTAGTGTGTTTATTTTATTTTTTAGTTACAAAAAATATTTTCTTGTTATATTTCTTAGGTAATTTTTATTTATATTATTTTATATTTCTTAGGTAATAAAAAATAGAATTTGGATTCAGTGCAGTTCTCGCACCATTTTTTTACATGTTTTTTATATTTTTGCTTAAGTCCATGCATTTTTTGTCCTAAATACACGAGGTAGTTTCCGCTGGAACTGCACCAGATCCATATCCTAAAAAACAACAGTAAAAAAAGTATGTAGATGTCTTACAGTAACACTATAATAGACGCGGTTTCGTGTGAACAAATAACTTCAAATGTGAAAACAAAGGTAGAATGAATAAAAGGTCAACACGTTTGTCGGTAGATATTTTTGTTGGTATTTAAAATGAGATTAAGATTATTAAGATTTCTTTCCTTTGGTAGATCAGAATGTAATTTACCTCGTGGTTGTGTCACTTGTCTCACTAGCTACCACTTGTTTTTCACTTTTAAAGATCATGTTTTCTACTTCAGTTTTTCTTCTTTACGTACGGAGTGATATGATATTTATTGATTTTCACTTTTAAAAAATTATTTTATCGTAAATAAAAAAGCTTCAATCGAGCTGGTTCTTAAAGTTCACATGCACATATTTGAAAATATAGGTTGTAATGGTGTGAAGTTGTATTGTTTTTGGATTGTAGCTCAGAATTACCATGGTCATCTCATAATTGTAAACATATTTTTCCTTTGAACTTTTTCGAAATCAAATATAGGCTTCCTAATAATAACATTTTAACACACTTTATTTAGTTTTATTCATCGTCCTGATGCTTGAACATTTCATGAGTTGTCCATGCAGTCTAAAAGGTTATTAATATTAACTCTTTAAATCGCAATAAAAAGTTATAAAAGCATTATTGAAATTGAAATTTATACTACTCGTATAAAAAAAAATAAAAAGTTAATATAAATCAACACTTCTTATTTATATTCACAGACTTATAAAATAATTTTATTATTTTGTACATGTATAAATAAAATTATAAACTTTCATATGTATATTTTAAAAATTACAAGTCATTTTAATATATATATATATATATATATATATATATATATTTGTAAGTGTTTAGTACAAGATAATTAAGGTAAAAGATTTCTCTTGTATGAACAGTTATTTAAGGTGATAGAAGATACTTGATAATCTTAAGTATAGATATTTATGTTAAAAAAAACACTCTAACGTCTAAATTAAAATGATTAAATATTCAGTACAAGATAATTTGGGAAGAACTTCTTTTGTATGGACAGTTTTTTGTTTAGGCACTTGATAATATCAAGTATGTTTTAATGATAGATGTTGCAAAAAACACTTCAACGCTCAAATTAAAAGGATTATTCTAGGATATATGTGCATTACTATCATTATGTGGTAGCACACGACCACACTTTACAAAATTGTTGTGTTAAAAATGTCAAAGCACGATTGGATAATCGTACAATGTAATGATTTAATAAATTTAGTTTTAGTGCATATTAGATTGCTGATAGATCTAAATGATTGACCCTAATTTTAATATTTATTTTAGATTAAATCTTTTTCTTTCAAATTTTCAACATGAGACTCAAATAAATTATTCTTATTTTTAGTACAACAAAATTAATATGTAGATTTTTAACAATTAAGAAATAGTTTTCAATTGTCAGATAATACATACCTTTGATAAACATAAAAAATAATTTGTCTAGAAACACGATCTAAAAAAAATAAAATAGAATTAAAATAGAAGAAATGTAAACTTATATTAACATGAATGAGTGAAAAGGTTAGTATTAGAAGAGGAAATAGAAGATTTATGTAGCCGTTTAATGTGCATTAATCTCTAACACAATTAATAACACAATTTTAATATTTATTTAAATAAAGGTGGTGATGGAAAAATTTTAAAGTGCTAGCCGTTAAATAAGAGAATAATAATAATTAAATGCAATGATGTAAAATTTTAAAATATTTTACTGACTAATTAAAATGAATAAATAATCCAAAACTCACTGCAATCACACTATAATAACCCCTCCAATTGCATTTGCAGGTGCTCTAGAGTACCTAAGCAAAAGCAAGCCTCCGTTGCCTCTCAGGGTGGGAGAATTTAACGAAAGGCAAAATCAGTGTTTTGAAAATAAAAATAAATATTTTACAAGTCAAAATTTCGAATGATAGTTCATAAAATTCATCAGTTAACTTTATAATTAAATAGTAACTGGACTGGGTATTCGAATTGGAGACATAACTTAATATTATCCATCTAGTTCAATGATTGGTTTGGTTTGATTTTTCAAAACATTGTCCTTAATTTTATTCAATAAAATGAAAACTTATTGTGCTTGTGCTTCTATTGACACAATTTGGGTAAGTTTTCATTTTTGGGTTCGGGCCTGTTTGAAATCTCAAATCAGCTAAAGAACTATATTAGCCCATTACATTCAGCCCAGTTGATCTTTTTGGACCAAAAAGAACAGTAGTTGGTCCATCTTCCACAACATTTATTTTTCACTTTTTGTTAATTAATAATTGGTAAAATATTTTTGTGTAACTATTGTTTATTTCTTGGTGATTTTTTTTTGTCTCCTCAATTTTCCTTAGCTAAATACTTTCCTTTTGACTTCCAACTTTTTTTTCAACCTCCTTTCTACTACAGCTAATAAACAAAGCTCTCATTCTAACAATTTTTTTATACCACTTGTTGAAAATAGAAAGGGAGAGATTTTTAAATCTTTATATAAAATTACGATAGAAAAAAAAATATTAAACTGAAGGAGAGGCATAGCGAAATCTATAAAAGATAATTCAAAAAGGAAACTCTCGATTATTTGATCTTTCAAGTTCTTATACACAATTACTTTTGTTCTTTTCTAATGATGGACTCCTAAATTTAAACTCTTGATTCAATTGCAAATGAATCGAGACACTCCAATTCTGTGCCCATGCAACTCCACTGTGATAGTCAAGCTCAACACATTGCAAAACATCGTCTCATACATGAATGTGACAAGCAAGTTCAAGTATAGAGTTCATGGGAGCATACAACCTTGTTTTGTTCTCATTTGTGCGTGGTTTATAGATATATTTACAAAAGTTTTGTTTTGTGCTTAATTTCCTTCCTTGCTTGACCAAGTGAGCATTTCCTCCTCTTACACCAAATCAATTAATATGAGAATCTGATTCATTATTTTCTTTTTACTATTAGGAATCGCTATTAATATTGGTGGTGATTTATCGTTACTTCGATTAGCTAACTTAGAAATTTTGAGACTAAAACTGGTATATATCTAAAGAATTTTGACACCAAAATTTGAAATATATTTTAGAATTTTGGCATCAAACTCTATATCTAAGTACCCTATTAATAAATGCAAGGGAATTTTTCCCTTGTTTTTAATATGGTAAAAATAGAATTTTAGTATTCTTACATTATTTTTTATTTTAATTTATTCATCCAATTTTTAATTCATTTTTTTTAATTTTATCTGCCTATTAAATATCAATTAAATAGAAAGGAGAGAAAAAATAATGATTACGATAACCACGATAATTTGCATAATCATGGCATTAAATAAAATAAAAGATTAAACTTAAATAAATAAAAAATAATTAAAATAATAATTTTTGCTATGAATCTCGCGAGTAAAATGTTAAAGATTTTAAAGGTGAGCGTCACATTAATGAATTAAAAGATTAAAAAAAGTAAAATGTATAATTTATAAAAGAAATTATAAGAAGCGATTGATCGAAATGTTATTTGTCCTTTTTGATATTCGACGTCGGCGCTCACGTGATTCTGTGGGGAAATCATCAATCTCAGAAGCCACAGCCTGGGAGTGCTAACTCGCCTCCTCTGTAGTTTCTCCATATCTATAATCATTCAAATAAGTTGTGTTCACAATAACAGTATCATATATAATGTGTATGAAAATGAAGAAAAAGAAAAAGTTGTAAACGTGTTGTTGCATAGCTTTCCCAATTCCCCCAGAGGGAGGGAGCAGAATGATGTTAAAATTCATGAAAAAGATAAGAGGGGGCATGCAGTGTGATAGTGGGGCATATGCCTATGAATGATAAAAGGGGTTCCCAAGCATAAAGTAGGTGGAAGTGGGAGCCATAATATGATTCCTTTTTAAGGCCATAGCTTCTTCATCATTTTATTTTCTTCTTTAGTAGTGCCCTCGGATATGCCCTCACTATTTCTTTGATTCCCCACTCATATTCACTCCACCTGTCCTCATTTTCTCTGTGGTCCCCTCTCAATACCATCCCACTTAAACCACTAATCACTCATTTATCAGACACCTTCTTCATTTCTGTTCAATCATCACTTCTATGGAAATTAAATTCAATACATCACAGCTACTCTTTTGCCCCTCCTTTTACTTTGGACTTACATGCATGCATGGCAGTTATTTAGAGCTTCTTTGGATATTTAATGTAACAGTTAAATTTGAGTACATCAAACATTGGTCATCTAACAGTGTTTTAATTTC